CCAGCAAAAAGGACAGCTCAAGATTCAAGCTACAAACTGGAGATGTCAAAATCAAGCAAGTACAGAAATTTAAATATATAGAAAGAATTTTAACAGATGACAAAAACATGATACTGAAATCCAAAGATGTGTTGAAATAGCATAAAGAAACAAAGTATTAAAAAACAGGAAAATTTCTTTAGCAGTTCAGCACTCTTTGTTTCTTTCTGAAACTAATCTTCCTACATGGAAGCGGGAAAATTTTTCCACAGATGAAGAGAAGACTTGAGGCAATAGGGCAGGTTGATTTTTAAATGGTTCTTTTTTGAAGAAAATCATCATTACCCCTTGGGATGGATAACAATTAAAAAGAAATCTCCCTTATTTATTTTTTTGCAAATAATAATAATAATAATAGTTATTATTATTATTATTTTATGTGCCATAACCCTTCAGGATGTGGGCAATCATGGCTTTTTACGACTTCCTATTCTTTGTAGCAGTTAGCAATTTAATTTTGCATAAAATAACGATCTTTTATATTGCAAAAAAACTGTTTCCACATGAAAATATGTAATGAATGATATTTTTTAACAAAATACAGGAAACGTTATTTTATTATTTTATGCAGCAGTTACTAATTTTTCATTACTTTTTCTCTTTCAATATTTACATGATTTTTGATTGGGTTTTGTAACATATTATAAAAAAAAAACATACAAAAATTGTGTCATTATCTGGGTGAGCACAAAATCAGATTCCAAACTATTATTATTGTGAGGAGATTAATCTCTATCTATAAAAGGCAGGATGTGTGTGTGTGTGTGTGTGTGTGTGTGTGTGTGTGTGTGTGTGTGTGTGTGTGTGTGTGTGTGTGTAACGAATGCACGGCCGCAATCTTCGACGGATTTGCACCAAAATTTACATGCACATGCTTCAAGTTAGCGGGAAGGCCAAGACCGACTTTGCATTCCCCAACTCACATCGATAGTGGAAATAATCGATTTTTCATGCTTCTACGGCAGTTTTCATGTAGTTTGCGGCCATTTTCTACTGGCCAGAGTGAGAGCCTATAGCTGGCTGCCATGAATAGGCAGGAAGATTCAATTGGCCAGCGTGAGAGCCAACAGCTGACTAACACGAATGTTAACTAGCATGCTAGCATGCAAAAAAAATCGATAGCTGCATTCATCACAAGTGGGGAAAAATTAAAATCTGCATGGCACTTTACTCCAATTGGCTCATTCGCTTGCTTAAACTCAACGTTGATTCTAATTCCGCAGAACTGGTTTGGGTGTGAAAAAGTATTTGTTGTTAACATTCTTTTTTCATTCGGTTTTTCCAGTTACGAGTATTTTTTAAAGCTGATCGTTTTGTGTTCATTTTGTTTAGTTCTTTTTTTTAGAAAAAATTCGCAGTGTGAGAATTAAGGCATGTAGCAACATCAGCACGGCAAAGAGCACTCCTTTAAAGGCAAGGAAGGGCAAAAATATTTTAAGTCAAGTGATAGCGATTGCTGTATGAGTTGTACGATTTTTTAATCAAGCACAGGCAACGCCGGGCCATGCTGCTAGTTAACAATAATCTTGCCACAATATGCCGTTTTTGCTGTATTAGGATAATACACCAAAACAAAACTTGTATCATTTTTGGAAGTGTAACAAACCAGTTCCCTCACCAGTTTTTTTTTCCTGCTGAGGAGAGTAGTTACCAAAAATCTTGCTACAATGTGCCGTTATTGATGTATTATGATAATGCACCCAAAACAGAAATTGGATCATTTGTGGAAATGTTACAAACCCTTCCCCAACCAGTCTTTTCTGATGAGGAGGGTAGTTAGACATCCAGCAAGATTAAAAGCAAGACTTATCCAAAGAGTGAATAAACATTTTTGTAGAGTCAACATTAATGTATATTTAAACACATCTCCCAAATAGCTGCCATGGTCAGTTAAATCCTAAATCATTTTCATCATTGTCCTGAGTTTGGACTAAAGAAGACTGTTCGGAACAACCTTCTTCAGATTGATTGTTTTCTTTACAGCTTATCAACCTTTTGCAGGTTATTTAAAGCCAGAAAATATTTTTAGATTGTAAGAAATTTTTGGAGATAATAATGATCACGCTAATTAACCCTTAGCTGTTGGGGAGAAGAGTTGGATTCATGCCTTTCCTTATGTGAATATAATGAACTGGAAGTGGAACTCAGCTCTCCAGTATACAGTTCCAAGCTGTTAACCATTACACTACTCACACATCTAAGCTTACAGCACTTGGCATTCCCAAGCAGTCACCCATCTAGGTATTGACCAGGCTTCATACGAGGACTGGTGTTTCAATGTGATATGGCTGTAAGCCCTTTTAGTTGAGAATATTTTTTTAAGACAATCTAGAACACAATGCTTCTACTGACTCCACAACATATTCTTGTGTTATCAATCAGACTGTTTCAAGTTGAAAATAATCGTAGCAGAAAGTTCGGCTCAAGTGGTTGACGGATGAGAAACAATCAGGTTAGGGCATCTGATTTCATATATTTAGTTATTCAAAAGTGACTTTTTTATTTGTTAGTCAATTTCATAAAATCTATAATATATTCAAAGTACAAATCACAACTTGATAAGAGATAAGATTAGAGATAGGATTTTTGTAGCAGTTTAAACACTCATTTTTATTCATTTTCTAGTTTTATATCTTAAACCTGTATATTTGTGTATTGTTGTAAATGTTAAATAGTAGTTGGACTTTTCTTTTTATCTTATATGTTCCAAATGGTGTTTCAAGACTACTTTCTTGAACTTTAGTTCCTATTTACAAAAAATAGCTTATTTTTGGCACATGGCCACATGTATGGGGCACTCAGTGAGATTTGAACTCACTCCTAATGATCTACAAGTTAAGCTTGCTGATCACTACACTACTATGAGATGTGTACAATTTTATTTACTAAGCTTAGCTTAGTTTTGACAGAATGTTACCAGTATCATGTGACAACTAGTTAGTATTAAACTGATATCTGATGATTAACAAACTCATCTTGCTGACCATTATACCATGATGTGTTATCATTCCTGAACTTTAGATGATTAAATTAAATTTCAAACCAGTTTCCAAATACATACATATATATATATATATATATATATATATATATATATATATATATATATATATATATATATAATGTATGTGTATAAATAGAAAAATATATATATACATGCAAAGTACTTATTGGAAAGCATTCAATATCAGTGATAGAGATAACATATATATATATATATTATATATATATATATATATATATTTGAGCTATCTGCATTTGTCTTTAACTCATTTATATATGTGTGTGTGTGTTTTTAAAATTTCAGATGTAAACATAAATATGTCTGTAAAAGAACAATATGAAAGGCAAAATCTTTATTTACCAACGTGTTTCATTCACTGATGGACTTGTAACATGTTAACTGAAGTAAAAAATATAATTAAAATATATTTAACTAATCGAAAATGATATAACCACAAATAAAAAGCTATGTCCAAAGTGGACATAATTGCCCATTGTGCCACTAAGTGTCATGAGTTGACACTATTCTGAGCAAGTTTTGTCACATGTTTCTCTTCCACTTTGAATGGTTAGTGTCCTATTTTTTTTACTCTTTTCTTTTTTTTTTAATCAATGTCACCCAAAGAAAGGGAGTAAAGCCACTAAAACAGAAAGATTTACAGCATGTGGAAGAATTAGGAACAGAAACATTAATGGTGAGCAGAAAAAGAAGAAATTAATCAGGAGGATAGTAGATAGCTGTTGTAAGCTAGGATTCTAACCTCTGAATAAAATAATCACACGAAGGTTGGTAATAAACGATAATATGAACAACACATATAAGATTCACCAGTGGTGCGTAGAAGAAGAAGTCAACTGCTAGAAGTGAGTTAAGTGAATTCCACAATGAATCTCCAAATGCAGGCCAACATACAGTATTTACTACCATATTTATGTAAATGGGGACATATCCATTATCGTCTGTAGGTATGCTACAATAGTAGTGATTGACATTGCATTTAAATTTTGGCAGATTAAAGTTGGCTGGAAAGCATGGAACCAGAAGAGAGTTCCACAAGTGAGAAGTGCAAGAAAAGAAACTGTTAGCATAGAATTTATGGCTATATCTTGCCATTCCGACTGTAAATTGATGACATGTCAAAGCCAGTCTAGTGCTGTGCTTAAATTCAAATTAAATTTCCACTATGGCATTTAGACCTTATGAATTTAAGTGCAGTAGTAAATTTACAGCAAGTTCTGATCATTTTGCAGTTGAAATCCCTAGATGTAATCATAAGTTCTATGCTAACAGTTTCCTGTCACTTGTGAAACTCTCTTGCGACTTCTAGCTTCCCAGTCGACTTTGATCTTCAAAACCCTAAATACAATGTTAATTTTTGTCTTCTGTCTTAATTATTGTTCTTTTATTGTTCTCTCTCCTTAATAGTATTTTTTTTCTCATGCTCTCTAACACTCTGTAATTCCCATGCATCCTAGAGGCTTTATTGCCTTGTTTCGGGTGAAATTAGTAAAACAAAAAAGAAGCCTCCAATTGCATATAAAAATTTTACCATATTAGGAGATTTATGAAAAAAGAAAAGCTGGAATTATTGGCTTGGAACGTTGATAAGTTATAACATTGATATATATTGTCTCCAAGAAACCAAAATCAAAGAAGGATATGATATTTATATTGGAGTCAGCATGTGTTAGTAGCTTTGGAATCAGACTGTAAATATTATGAAACTAGTTTTGACATCAATGCCAAAAGGAAGAATATCATCCATAGACATTGGACGAAGAGCCATACAATATACATTGAACAATGAAATTGAAAGAACTATCAATAAAATTATGTCATTACATGTAAAGCAACTTTGAAGAGTTTGGAAGACTTGCAACAGTTTTGTGAGTTAGCAAAAGATATGGACGTTTGGAGAGAAATGATTCAAGATATTTACAAAGTTGATGAAAATGAGTACTCTCACTGATTTGCAATTACACTGTCTGTTCCCTATCTATCTATCTATCTATCTATCTATCTATCTATCTCTGTTCACTATCTTCAATATGTTCACTATCTATCTATTTATTTATCCCTGTTCACTATCTATTTATCTTCACTATCTACCTATTTATGTTCACTATCCATCTATCTATTAATGTTCACTATCTATCTATGTTCACTATCTATCTATCTATCTATCTATCTATCTCTGTTCACTATTTATCTGTTCGCTATCTTGTTATATAGGAATAAAGTGTCTCTGCCAACACTTGAGTTTGAACATAGATTGCCAGTGAGCAAACACAAGCGCTCCCATTATTGAATTAAGTAGACCACTTGATCATAGAGGGAATGCATAAGTAGGAAGTCGCGTAACCTCTAACTGATCATTATTTCTGTTCTATCCTCTATTACTATTCAGATCGCCATTTCTATTCTATCCTCTATTACTGTATGGACTACTATTCTCTACTATATTCACTATACTATTCGAGTATTATCGAGCAAGTACTATTAGTGCGAGTGCTATTTATAGGCGTCTAACACCAGTATTGTTCAACAACGTATTATAGTTGCATCTGCAATTACTAAGTCTCTACTACAAAGGGAATTACAAAAGGGACAATGAGTATCTGTTGACATTACAAAAGTGTCAAACGAGTATTCATTGACATTACAAAATATATATCTATCTGTTCACTATCTATCTATCTATCTATCTATCTATCTATCTATCTATCTATCTTTCTATCTATCTATGTTCACTATCTATCTATCTATCTATCTGTTTCTTTTTTAAAATTCTTTACTTAACTTCTTACATTTATTTTTATAATTTTTCCTTTAATTTTAACATTAACACTAACATGTCTGATAATCTTTCTGGAGCATTTTTTACTTATAATTCCCAACAGCAGATTTCAAAAGAAAAGAGAAATATGTTAGAACAAAAGAGAATAAAAAATAATCAATTTCATAATGAAACTATAAAGTATTTCTAACCAGGAAACTTATTCACACAAAATGTTAATAACATCTTTGCATTGATTTGATTTACATTGAGTTCTCTTGTATATTCAAAATCGAACAAAAACGTAAATAAAAGCAGATTTATTCAAGACACCGAAATCATTATATTAATGTATCCACCATCTTCTTGAAGTCAAAAGTAATTCTTTATAAAGCGATCTAAAGACTTTGACAAATGTCTTAGCCACCAGATTTCTCAGACTTTACTTTGTTAAATGATGTTATGTGTAGAACATTTTAAAGCATTATTTTATTTCACAAAGTCTTGTTCTCTAAAATATCTTCAGATTAAAATTAGATTAAGTTTTATAAGCAGGGAGCCCAGATAATCTAAACTAGGAGTATTTGCAAAATAAATACAGTTTTCTGATTTGAATTTTTTTATGAATCTTAATTAAGTGAATTATTGAAAAAGTTCCTTACAAGTTCCACGTCTGTAAAATATCCTTGGAAACTCATGTATTGAATTGTTAAATATTTGAACTAGAAATCTTTAAGAAAATATTGCAATAACAGTCACAAGTATGAATGCAGGTCATTATTTAAAGAAGTAAGAGGGTACAAATGAAAAGATTTGGAATTGACAAGTTTTTTTCATTTCATTGAAGCAAATATTAGAATTAAAGTTTTATTGCTTCCTCTATCTTCCCTTACTTTTTCCTTTTTCTTTATTATTATGCATGCTTACTTTTTCTCATGATAACCACACAAATATATCTTTTTCTTCCATCTTTCTTGATGGAATGGTCCATTATTTATCTGAAGTAATGGTATAGGACAAACAGAATTATAATATGATGACAATCATGGGAATAATCTACAAAAGATATTGTGTCATTTCAAAATTGTTTAAATCGTGAAATAGAAATGATTGTTTATTTTTTAATACTGTGTAAGTAAATGAGGTAGAATTTTTGCAAAAAGGCATTTCCTTTTCAAATTTTCTACTAACATTTGCATTGATCAGTCATTTAAGGTATTTCACCCATCATCCGTTAATGATATTCATTTTTTGCAAAAATCTTCTTTTAGGATTTTATCATTTTGGCTTATAGAAAGTAAGTCACACTGTGGTTGTGTTTCAAGTGAGTGGTTTGAAAGACAAACACAAGTTATATATTTATGCTTTCATTAAAACTTCCTTCAGATCTTATTAAAGTCTTGCAAATGTTTCAGTAATGGTAATGATAATATTAGCTGTCTCCTTATGAGGAAACATTCAGCATTCATTGACCAAGAAGCCAGTGCTACTTTTGGTTAAAATTTATAAAATCTTCCTCTTAAAACAATTTTTTCAGGAAAATAGGTTTCTCAAGTCTGGTAAGAATTATTTCTTTTTCCAGTATTGATGAAGGTTTCTTTCCTAACTTTTTGCTTGAAGTAGTGTGGAACATCAGCATCTTCAAGTTACATCTGCTATCCATTTTAGTTGTTGCTGCTGTTGAAAGTCTTCAAGTGATGCAGTTTCTTTTATTTGGTACAGTTCTTTCTTTGTGATTCTGTACAAGGTTTGAAAAGAGATGGTTCTTGCTGAGACCTACAAATCTTACCCAAAACCATTTTTAACCACTGATCTGAGAAAGACGTTGTACACAGATGAATTTTAAATTTTTTCTAAATGAATTTGGTGCTATGCGTGGCATCGGTATGAACGTCTTGATCTGATGAGACTATCTAAAAACAGGACTCAAGTTTTCAAGTTAATGTTTTGGTTTGCAGTGTTGGGGGAAACTACCCCTACCACAGGTATTTTTTTTAATCATTTCACCCTAAGCAAGGCAATAAAGCCACTAAGACACAAGGGATTACTGAGTGTTAGACAATATGAGAAGATATACTAATAAGGAGATTTGATTAAAAGGACTAAATCAGTTCAAAAATTCATCCAGAAATACCATAACATTTCAACTTGTGAATAAGACCATTATGTCAAACCCTGTCAAATGCCTTCAAGATATCTTAAGCAATAACAAGCTTCACCATTCTTATCTGAAGCTTGATATACTCAGCAATAATCATTAACATATCAGCAGTTGACCTAGAGAAGCGACAGCCACATTGCTTATCTGAAAGAAGATGCTACAAGATGAGATGCTTAAACAATTCAGAGTTAATTAGAGCCTCTAGTACTTTGCCAAAAAAAGGAGAAGGCTAATAGGCCAATAGTTAGAAGGATTAGACGGTTTACCTGAGTTCTTAAAGATGGGAACTAAAGAAGAGAATTTCAAATAAGCAGAAAGGCAACAAGCAGCAATGCATTTCTTGTAGAGTTTAGAGAGAACAGGAACTGGTTCAGGAGAACATTTCTTAAGGACTATTGCTGGGATATCATCAAGTCCATATGCTTTATTTGGATCCAGTTTAGAAATGATAGCAGAAACCATTTTATGCATATCACTCAATAGAGACTCAGTGGAATATCAGACAAAAGTACTCCAGGTGACTCAAGAGTAGAATTTGAAGAGAATTTACAAGCAAAATATTCTGTTTCATCAGCAGCATTTAGTATCTACTAGTGGTTTAGTATTTACTAATTATATATCCTGAATTTTATGATGAATTCATAATTTTTCCGACAGAAAACAAAACTGCGCACACATTTTTTTTATCAGTGATTTTAAAAATTACCAAGTGCACTTTCAGACACAAGGTAAAAAATCTAAATTGTGAAATAAGAGTTATCCTGAATGGCCATTCCTCTAGATCATTTCATACTAATGCAGGTGTCCCCCTGACTCTATCCTTGGTCCTATTTTGCTTTTAATTTCTATTAATGACCTTCCTGATGACATCATCTCTCAACTTGCTATCTACGCTGATGACACAACAATTTACCCTTGCTTCGTAGTAAGTCTTGTCAGTCCGACAAGGTCAAAATGACAGCCGATGTCAAAAACGATCTGACATCTATCGTTAACTAGAGCAAAAGATGGCTTATTAATTTTAACACCTCCAAAATTAACTTCTCTTCATCTGAGAGACCACTTGCTGTTTTCCATCAGCATGGCTGATGCTAACCTCCAAGAAAGTGAGTTGTTGCACCTTCTTGGGTTCACACTCCCTGCTGATATGAAGTGGCTGGAAAGCATGGAGCCAGAAAGGAGTTCCAAAAGCAAGAAGTGTAAGAAAAGAAGCTATTAGCATAGAATTTACAGCTACATCTAGCCAGCTCAACTGTAAATTGATGGAATCTTGACACCAGTCTAGTACTGCACTTAAATTAAAGAAGTCTAGGTACCATAGCAAAGAGCTCATCTAAACAATTACTATGAAAGTATTTATAGAAAAGACAGGCAAACTTATGGTGGTAGGAAAGTGACTGAAGCTGAGCTGCCAGATCAGGATATATAATATTGCTGATTCTTCTTTGGATTTTATCAAGAAGCTCAAGGTAAATAGCAGGGGCACCGGACCATATGTGGCAGCAATATTCTAAGCATGGACGAATGGTAAACTTATAGATATGTAAGATAGATTCTGAAGAGAAAAATTGTCTTGGTCGACACAGGGAAAACAACTTTCTTAGCAGCTGACCTAGCAATGGATTCAATATAGTCTTGCCACTATTTGTATTGCTTCTCTAGAAACACCTCATATTTGCGGACTACTTTTCCCTCCAACTCTATTCCCACAATATATACTTGGGTGAAGATTGATCTTTGGTATGATGAATGATAGTTCATTTCATAATTATTTTTAAGTAGTAAATCACACAGAAATACTGTACAGCAGTTTTTTTCTCTGATTAACTAATGCGGAAGCCACACATCAAAATGACTATCATAACTGTTATACTGTACCTATAGACTATAATGGGTATGTCCCAATCCTTATAAATACAGTGGAATATACTGTACGTTGAATCACTGTGGTCTTCCACAGTGTGCTTGTCTGCTCCGGGCAGAGAGGAACCCAAACGAGGTTATGCTGAAGGGCAGAGTCTCGTCTGGGGTGGTAGACAGCTACCCAACCCCGTTTTTACGGGGTCAACGGGGAATTTTTTGCCGAGCCTACGGGCTCGGATACCCCACAATAAACTCGGCCTTGTACCACATTCGACCGGGTGGGGCGGTTAGTGAATATCTTCACTGTGGTCTTCCACTGTGTGCTGGTCAAACTCTCTGTCTCCGGGCAGAGATGATTCCCAGACGAAGCTATGTCGAAGGACACAGTCTCATCAGGGAAGAGCAGCTACCTGACCTCATTTTATACGGGGTCTACAGGGAATTATATATACACCACAATAAACTCGGCCTTGTGCCATATCCGACCACGTGGAACGGTTAGTGAATATCTTCACTGTGGGATTTCACTTGCGATTCACCTTGATTCTCTTCTAGCACACCACAAGCAGTTGATTACTTACTACACGCCGCTGGCGAATCTTGTATATTGTTCCTGTTATAAATATTATTGTTCCATTTCCAACCATCGTTTTGGTTATTCTTATTCAGTAACCTTTTCCTAGGTTACAACATTTTGGCAACAAGGATATAAAAATACAACAACAACCAAATTGGTGCCAATGATTTTCAACACTTTGTTATGGTATTTTGGCTATGTTGGCTGTATCCTGCATTAATATAATATTATTAATATGGCTTTATTTAATTTCTATCAACCTCAAATTATCCCTTTTGGCACTGAGGAATTTCCAGCATTAAACCTTCCAAATCATTTTTGACACTTTTGATTATACCTTCTTCATAAACTGCACAAAATGTTTTTTTTTTTGGCATTCAAGTTTAATTTTTAACTTTCTTAAAAGAAAAAATAGTAACAAAAATGTTGCATATTTTCTTCTGGTTTCATTATTAGAATCAATAAACAGAAGATAGATCAATTTTGAGAAATAAATGCATGTTGGGATGACAACTGTCATGAAGATGATCAAAAACAATAATTTTGAATGTAGTTTAAAATAAATACTCTGAATGGACTCGGATGACAAAACTGAACAAACATTTTTTTTGGACAGCTAATATTTAGCTTTTTAAAGCTTAACCCACTTTAGTAATATTAGTAATATTTTTAATAATAAAGATTTATTTAATATATTTTTATGTAATACGTAATATCCCACATAAAATCTACGAAACAATTACATGAAAACTCTTATCATGATATAGTGACACAGCAAATTCTGATAGCAAATTAAACAATAAACAAGATAGCATAGTGGTTATTAGTGCAGAAAGTGCAATAGTTGACCTGAGTTGCAAAATTTGCCCAAGTCTGTTGCATTCACTTTAAAAGGAAAGCATGAATTGAATTTAAATGTCAGGGTAGACTGAGTAACAGTCAATCTAGATATAGAGCAACTCTAAATTTAAAATTGCAGAACATCAGAACAAAATGAACGAATACATGTAACGACATAATAAGATATGCAGCTGGCACCAAGTTGATACCGGACACAGAAAGAAAACTCGTAGAAAAGGTTGTAAAGGAAAGGGGGAAGAAAAGACTATCCATCAAAAAAAATGTCAGCTTTTGAAGTCGGTTGTGAAGATTTATTCTTGTGAATGCCCTGCCTTTTGTACTGGACATAAGCGTTTTGCATCACCTGTTAAACAATATATTTAAAAAAGGTTAGCTAAGATGATACATTTGTCATTACAAATGGTCCTCGAAAATGGGAAATACATAGTTTATTCAGGTAGGAATAAAGCAAATCTTACTTTACTCTGGTGGGAATTTATACAAATCACTATCCCATAAACGCCTTATGGACTCAGGTGCAAGTTTCAATAACAAAGCTGTTACACTTATTATCAACCTTCACAGGAATCAGACAATTTACATTGATGAAGATTTATGATAACCTTGCATCGTAGTAACATTATCGCCTTACATGGGTGAAATGATTAAATATATATATATATATATATATATATATATATATATATATATATATATATATATAGATTGATAATATTAGTGGAAAATATACATACATATGCAAAATATATATAAAAAATTCAGAAAAAAAAAAAAAAAAAAAAGTTTTTTCCAAGAGGAAGGATCCAGGTAGAACTCAATGTCTAGGACAGAGTAAGGATATAATAAAAGGCTTAAACACTAATATTCCATGGTCATAATTTATTCCATTGGAATCGTAAATACGATCCAAATCATCAGACCTTCAATTTCATTTTTGAATTTGTAGGTCTGATGATTTGATGATTTCAATGGAATAAATAGAATAAGTGTAAATGTTTTTTCTGTTTATATATATATATATATATATATATATATATATATATATATATATATTAAAAAAAGAGGGGGTGCCGCAAACGTTTTTGTTTGTAATGTGGATTTATTGAGAAAAAATATTATACTTTGTTTTACATAATTTCACGACACGTGTTTCTGGTCTGGTGGTCCAACCGTCTTCATTGAAAGTGGAGATTTTTACATATTATTAAAATAATTAATTTTTCTTCATGTTCAATGTGGAATATTCTCGATATGAGACATTCTGTTTTTTGTTGCCAATAAATCCACATTATCAATGAAAAAACGTTTGCGGCACCATCTCTTTTTTAATATACATCCTTTTTCTCGTTGGAACCACTACAACATATTTCTTTTATATATATATATATAGATTGTGTTTTAGATATGTATATTATGGAGTTAGGTTAGAGAAATGTACAGGTATTCAGTAGCATCTGGGCAAACATTCACATGACAGATACCTCAGCATTGCACATAAAACTCAGGAGACATTTTTGAACATTTTTTTTTTGAGGCATGAATTTGATATCCGGATAAAAATATTCCAAAATATTTGATTTAATGATTTACATTATGTTTTTTTCTTTTTATTTCAGAATTCTTCTCTTAGTTGGGGCACAACTAATGATTCATGGCCTGAATTCACACAATGTTTTCAGTTAGCAGTCCTTGTCTGGATACCATGTGGGTGGCTTTGGCTCACTCTACCATTCTATGTCTACTACCTCATAAACAATGCTGACAAACGGAGACCACTAACAGTTTTCAGCATTACTAAAACGGTAAGAACATAAAATACTTTTATGAGTCAATTTTTCATCAAACCAATTCCACAGATAGTGAAGTTATGCAAAATCTAAGGTATGTTCCTGTAATCCAAATTTATTCAGAATTATCACTTATCATTAGTAGTTAAGATGATACATTTGTCATTATATTTAGTTATTATAAACGGAATTTACTAATGATTTAACCTAATTTTATTGGTCTTCTTTGTCATTTGCTGGACGTAGACCTTCCCCAGATCATGGAGAGAAATTGACCATTACCCTGTAGCGTGGACCTAATGCATGTTGGCAGTGGCAGATATTTGTCAATCACGTCTCTTTTTGATTCATGATTGACCAAGGTAATTTTCCTTTAAGTGAATGAAACAAACTTGAGTATCATTTGAACTTGACTCCACAATATATATTCACCATTATTTGCAGTATCATGTTGATACTTGCCACTTTGATGCCTTTTGAATAAAATTCTGCAGGTTTTGTTGTGTAAAAGTTTTTAACAAACTCTTGAAAACCTGACTTTCGTTAGAGAAAGTTTTCCGCATTAAAGCATCTTGCAGCGATAGGCAGAGCTAAATAATCGGTTGGTGCAAGTTCAGGCCAATATGGCGGATCAAGTAAAAGAAACCAGTCGTGTTCCAAAATTGTTTTTCTGGCTGTATGAAACCTTGCATTGTCATGAAGAATAATAGCAGTTTTCTTATTGTCAGATGCATGAACCTTTTCGAACAAACTCTTGTTAGTCGTTAGAACATTCACTTTCTGACCATGAGACCTGGTTCGAATCTCACCATGGTCGATTTCACAGGAAGGAGACTTTTTAATGATATCGGACTGGATCAAGGTCAATCCCAGCATGCGTCACTTTCAGAAAGTGACTGAAAAACCACACCACGGGTTGACCCAAGCTTTGTGAGTGAAATTAGATAGACGGAACTCTTGGGAGCTGTGCTAGCATGAAGCCAAAGGTCATCGTGGCCGAGAGTTTGAGCGTGCTGGCCTTGTTCAAACTGTTGATCACGCTAGATAACGCACTCTTTCCCAGAAACTGTAACTAAGGTTTGCTCAGCATAGTTGCAGTATAAGCCACAGGTAGGCTCTGTGGGTGTTCAGCACACACAAAAAATGTGCCTGAGCAAGCGTCTGCAATAAGGATTGGCTAGCCGCCCTAGTAGACAGGTATCCTTGAATACGAGTGGCCAGCTATTATATATGTATATGTGTATGTATGTGTATATATGTATATGTATCGGTATATATATATATATATATGTGTGTGTGTGTGTGTGTGTGTGTGTGTGTGTGTGTAAACAAATATATGGATATAAATCCGGCAGTATGAAGAAAAATATATACGGAAAAAACAAACAAAAATCCTTATTATGGTGTTTTAATGTTAATATGTTAACTTCGGACGTTTCGGTCTAATAAACCATCTTCAGGACATATTCATAAATTATAACATTATCAATACAACATGACAAAGACGATGTACATAAGAAAAAGACTTATCCAAACAGAATAACTGAAAGTTGAAGATGGTTTATTAGACCGAAACGTCCGACGTGGACATATTAACATTAAAACACCATAATTGTATATAAGGATTTTTGTTTGTTTTTTCCGTATATATTTTTCTTCATATATATATATATATATATATATATATATATGAATAAAAATGACAATAGGAAAACTGGTAATTGCTGATGCGTTTCGTCCAATGTGGACTTTATCAAAGCAAAATACGAAATAATTAGTTATTTTCAGTTAACAATATGAAAATAGCATTTCTCTACATTCCAGTTGATAGGAATATTCTGGGTTTTTTTTGTTTTTCTTAGTTACCGTGTTCAATTAAATTCATTTCGTATTTTGCTTTGATAAAGTCCACATTGGACGAAACGCGTCAGC